GAGGTAGTCCTTCAAAACCCTCTTGTGAGCCTCTACGGGAAGGAGGACTCAATAAAAGGAACCTTGTAGCTTTTAGCTGCTTCGACCCTAATGACACATCTGCGTTCGCCAGGAGACAGGGCGGGGATGCTGGGAGAGGCGCTGGTTTGAGTTACAGGGTTGGGTCCTTGGTTGAATGGACCCGCAGTGGTGTAATCCCCATAGTGAAGATTGGGGAGCCGCAAAGGGAAGCCAGTGTTCCGCAGGGTACATCATGATCATTCACCTTGACATGGGTATGAACATGTTCACAGAATTGAATTAGCCAGGACAGCAGTTCTGTTTTTCTTGTTATAGTGGCATCGCGCTACCGATCAAGGTTCGGGACTTCCCCATTTTGAACATCCCAGGCAACCCAGACAAGGAACTTAGACGACCTCCGTTTCTGTGATAATCTTGACGCAACATGTTACACAGAGCCCCACAGTGGGCCAAGAGAGAATTGTTTGGACAGTAAGAAGGGCACTTAAGTACCAGATGCCAAAGTGGAGATCAAACGGCATGGCCTTGAGCTAGGAACAGCATGTGTAAAGGAAGCGAATGGCACCTTTGTCTTGGGCAGCTAGGGGCTTTTGAAGGGAGCCCCCTCGGATCCCCTTGGGGCACTGGTGAGGCCTCGGCTATGAATTTGAGCAGGGAACCACCTCGAAAGTGGTTGGTCCAGCAATAGGTTCCCTTGATTGCAATTCACACCCATCTTCTTGCTAGGCATTGCAGCGCGGACCCTGATTTTGGTTCACCCGGAACTGTTGGAATAAAGTGAGTTGAATGTGGTTTGGTCCCAGGCATATTCAGGTGTCTTGGGCTCGCGCTGCGTTCAAGGACCCCACAGCGAGGTTTCGAAACAGCGGCAAGCACGATGGCTGCTATAGGTACGTTGTTGTTTTGTGCACTGAATCTGCATCTCCGCTGCTCATGTCACGGGAAGCTTCCAGGGAGTTCCTCCAGTCTCATCTAAACAATTGGTCTGAGGATGCCTCCAGTGCAACTTTTTCGGATTCGCGCGGGTAAAGGGCTTGGGCGCACCGATGCAGCGCGAATGCCACCACAGTGAGCGGCCTGCTGAACCAGCTGTGAAGGCACTTCGATTTCTGGACGGGGACATGACCCACTTTTCAGAGAGGAGCGCTGTCGCTGAAAAGGAACGAACTCACTGCCAAAACATAGGATATCCCCACGAAGCTGGGCAAGTTACATCACGAGCTCACCGATGAACCCAGCTCACCCATGATCAAGGTCCTTTACTGGGGCAGTTTCTTGGTTTCACATTTGCCCAGACGAAGGCATTATTTGCCCGCAAGTTTGGCCAAAGGTGTATTGATCCCTTACCCTCCCCCATCAGGGTTCATGTCAGTTAATGTTTGGGGGGTCCTAGGATACTGTTTCCCACAAAAGGGACGGGAAAGCAACCCGAGGGATCTTTTGCGGGTCTGGTCCCTGTGACATGCCACTCAAAGTAACCAGGGCGAACAAAAAGACACGCAAACACAGGCTGCTCAACATATGAGTCAGAATCAAAACCTGGTACTAAAATGGTCGACCCAGAACCATGAAAAGAATCAAGAAGGCGGCCGCAGCTATTTATGGTTGGGATTGTCCCTTACGAACTTTCATCTATCCAGGTTTTGATTGTGGCTCATATCCGGTCTATGGTCAAATTGAAAATTTGGGATGGGCATTGGCGGACTCACTAAACTCTACACAAAAGCCTAGGGACTCACGTATGTTACCATGTCCTTTTTGACAATGGCTCGCATGTATGCAGACAGTGTATTGTGATCTGGAATGCTTTACTCGTTGGGTGTGTTTGATTAATCCCCCATGTTGTCTACTTGCCATCATAATACATCTGTTTCTTTCCACTTGATTATGTTGTTTGGCCTTCTCCTGGGAGCACTTTGGCTAAACCCAAAACAACTTGCATCTTCCACCCTTGCCCGCAGGATATCTCGGCACCTTAGGAGGTACTTCAACCCCGTTCAACTCCCAAACTGAATCAACCCAAGTTGTCAAAGGAGACCAAGGGACCTTCTGGAATCAACAATTGGTTAACGAAACATCCTTGGTTTGCCGGTATAGGAGACTAGGGGTTGGTTCCTTTCTTTTGGTAGTTTTCTTTTCCACTGAAACCTAACAAAAAAGGCTTTTCGGGGAGGCGAGGTCTCTGGCAAGGAGGCTCCAACCACGGTTGTTCTTTTGCCAACCCTTTCCGGGAAGAAAATGAAGGGCCAACGCTGAAAAAGGATTGATACACTTGTAGAGGGGCCCTTCATTCTCCCACAGGTTGCAAAAGAACAACGCGGCGCCAACTACCAAAGAAAAAGGCGCCTGTTTATGGCCATTACTTTTAGTAGGGAACCACCTCACAAGTGGTGTGGACACGAAGCCCCAGCTAATGTCTATAGATTCATAGGACATAAACGAAATTGTCAAAGTTAGACTTGGGCCCCTAGAAAGATCGTTGGTTTCCTCGTGGTTTCCCCAAAAACAAGCCTCAGAGCACCCCGAAAAAATCCCATCTCAAGAAGCCCCTGGCCTGAGTTTGGCGTTCGGACGCAGGGAGCTCCTCTTCGGCGCATTCGCGGCTCAGTTCTGCAGGTCGCCCTCAGGGCACCTGGGGCCCGGAACTTGGGCCCGTCCTCGGTCTTTGAGGCCGCAAGTGTTTCGCCATGGGGTTTGGTTTATGTTTGGTTTAAGGTTGGTTTTTAATTTGGTTTAAGGTTGGTATTTAATGTGTTTTCAGGTTGGTTTAAATTTGGTTTAAGATTAATTTAAATGTGGTTTAAGGTTGGTTTAAACTTGGTGTAAGGTCGGTTTAAATTGGTTTAAGGTTGCTTTTAATTTGGCTTAAGGTTGGTTAAGATTTTGTTTAGGTTCAAGGTAAACGTGGGGGAGGGAGGTGTGTTTTTGAGGGTAACATGTTTCAGGTTGGTTTCAAGGCAAAGCGAGAGGAACACCGAAATCCAGAACAAAAGGGGTCCGAATCCGTATTTGGGTACATACCCACATCCATGTCGTGGTAAATGCTGATTGGGGGATCTTCTACAGGCATCCATCAGCCCAAGGCAACATATGTATATTTGCCCTGGTAGAGCAGATCAAATTCATAGGGTTGGACGTTGGCCAAGGTTGCTCTCTCATATTTTCCCTTGGTTTTCGCATCTCTTTTCCCTGGCAGTTATAGAGAAGTTTCCTTTTGCTGTGATTGAGACATATTATCAGGAAGCCCGGTTTTGTTTCACCGCCCGAACTTTGAATCAAATTATTACACCCAGGATCGTATGCAGCCTTCATAGTAAACCATGTTAGTACCACAGCCACAAGTCAAAGGGTATTTGGCGCTACACGCTTGTCTAAAGCCGAGATGTTGGCTTTCCAAGTTTAGTCCATGCTTAGACACGGTCCCGAAATGTGAAAGTCAGCCTTTTCATGCTAAGTTGGGCAGGTGTCGAGGGTTGCGAGGAAATCCAAAAGTCCAAACCCATGACATATCACAAGATTGCAATCAAAGCTGGGGACGTCTATTCAATTATCCTGGAGGGAAGGTTGCAAAGGCATGCTGGCAATTTGATACTGACGCCAAGAACAGAGTTACAACGGGCCATGTTTGAACACTCTCTCTTTTGTTTTGCCTTTTCGGTTGCTTGATTGCACCCAGTTTCATGACAAAGCGACGAGGATATCTATTTACAGGGTTTGTGTGCTATGGTTCGGGCTTGACTTGCCTGCGTGCTTGGTTGCTTGCTCATGTGTTTTGTTTCTTCTTCTGTTTTTTTCTCTGTTTGGTCATTGCACTGCATTTTCCTGGAACTAGATTCAGTGTTGCTGAACTTGAGCGCTGATCAGCCATTCATGTAAAACACAGACATAGCTCTGAGGCGATCTTGACAAAGTACCAGTACAAAAGCATCGCTCGCCGCTTTCGGCTTTTTCAGGAGCACAGGCTCTCCTATATTGACACTAGTGCGTGCCTCCCGACGCTGGAAGAAGCGCATTTTGAGTGAAAGCTGTCAGTCAAGCGAGCGTCCGAAGCATTTGTAACCAGCCACCCTGAACTGCGATAGTGCCACAGTGCGACGACATAGCGCGCAGAGCGATCAATTCGGCTTCCGCACTGACCAACGACCTTGTGTCTGATCCTGACCCATGGCGTGGCTGGGCTTTTCTTGCTGGCACAACGCAGGCGTGACCACAGAATCCTTGCGGTGCAGAGCCATCCTGTCTCCACGATTGAAATAAATGACAGCAGTTGCACTTGTATTGCTTGAGTCTTGATGATCATGGAATCATACCAATCAGAGCTCGCTCGCAGATGCCGTTTGCCCGGGATGCATTTTGGCTCAAGACTCAGCCCAGACTTACAACTTAGGTATTGATCCACGCACAGCAAGCTTAACTTAGCAGGATAAACCGAGCTTCCCCGAAGGCTCCTTGGTCAGTTGCATCTTCTTGTTGGCGACCAGTGCTTGTGCAGATGTTTCGACCCAAGCCCCCCACGGCCACACAAGAAGCGACCCTGTTGTACAATCCATATATGCCGATTGTGTTCCATCTTCAGTGTATGCTCTTGAACTCACTTGTCCAAGTATCAAGGCTTCGAGCTTGTCAACATTTCTGGTATCACAATAGTTTGAAATGCTCAGCTTTGGCTTAACCTTTGATGATTCATGCGGAAAGAGTTTGAACCCTCCACCTCAATCCGTAAGATCAGCGTGAGCCGCGACGAGTACGCAGGGCGGCTCTGTCTTGTTCGAACGGGCCATAGCAAAGATGAGCCTTGGGCACCTTGAAATAGAGTCAAATGATGATCAAAGGAGTAAATGTGTGTAGTAATTTAGCCCCTAGTTATACATATAAATATATATATATATATATGAAACAACCATAAGGAGAATTTAGGGACTGACGACAGCTCCGACCCGCAATTGGCAATGCCGAATCTGAAACCACGCTTTGTTACTCGGGCCAACAGCCTTCTGCGCAAGCGCCTTTTGGAGCTTCGAGCGAGCCACGTGCTACGTCGCCTTCTGCCATGGAGTCGCAGGCAACCTTTGACCAGGCACAAGTGGGGGCTGGGTAGATCTAGGGACGTGTCTTTGACATATCATGATAGACGTATATAATACAATATGTATACATATGTATATATATATATGAGAAAGGGGTTTGGTTGGCATATCAATAATGTGTCAGTGGTCGATGCGGGACAGCTGTGCCTAGCAAATTGTAGCGACCTCACAAAAAGGTCTTGGTGTGCGACTGCACCAACTGTGAAGATTCCTGACTGTCGTCCCTTGTTTCACAGATGTTGCGCTTTGGGGAGAACATGAAGGACGGCGCCCCAAATAGCCCACAAAAGCCTTTCTGGCACGAACCCCAGGCAATTGTCCAAGCTCGAAATGATAAGTTACGAAACACGAGGTTGCTCCGAGCCTTCAAACAATGACCACACCACAAGGGTAGACAATTGGTACCTGGATGTTCGGCCTAGTATTAAGTTGGTCGCAACCATGGTTAACCCCAGTTACCCCAATCATATTCCTGCTTAAAACCTACTTACTAAGTGGTCAAGCTGTCTTTCGCTTTGGTTAAGGAAGCCATTCCGGGCCTGTCTTAACATATCTACCGACTCGGTTTTGGCTGCTTTAGGAAACCACAAGGACACTACCTGCTTTTTTGCAAATCCCCTGGAAGGGTCCGAAATTTGCCAAACTATATGTTAGGAACTCTCGCCACGGACAATGCTCCGGAAACACAGAGATGGTTTTCCCGCATCAAAACCATAATCGGATGGATCGGGAGACAGGATCCGTAGCTCCGACGGGGGGGGGGGGGGGTGATTTTATCGTGCTTTCATGTTGTGATTGAACCCTCATTTTTCTGTTTCCCCACATTTGTTTCCGATATCCCCCTTCTCGTTCAGAGGCTCCCATGCAGATTGAACATCTTTTTCATCTTCAGGGATCACTCAAAACACAACCAGAATCTGACCGTTGGGTCGTTTCAATTTTTGTAGCTCAAGGCCTCCAAGCGCCAATTCCCGACAAAGCCTCGCGGCTCGCGGAGGTTGTCCGGAAGAGCCTGCATCGGGGCCCAACCGAGGATTGCCGGCCTTATGGCCGGGGGGTGCTAAAATTCAGCCCAGTTTGGTGGCACATGGATAAACTTGTCGGAAACCGAGCTGCCCCAACGAACGAGTGGATTCAACCTTTGGAATCCCACTTTATGTTGCCTAAAAATGGGGTGAACCCCGAAAAGGGCTCGAATTCTTTTTCTGCCAAGAGCACCCCAAGGCAAGTCGTGTGGCCTCCCGTACCGCCTGACGAGGCTTCAGCCCCGAAGCCGCCGAAGCGTAAAGTCTTTGGGTGAGAGGGTCCCTGATTTCTGCCTTTTCCGAAGCTTGAGAAGTCGAAACGCTAGGCTCCAGGTTTCGGGTTTGTCTCCACAGCGAACATGGAACCCCTATATTATGGGTTCCCTTCGGTTGCGGTGTTTTTCTTAGCGACAAAAGAACGGCACCCTCACAACGCACCAAGGTGTGTGGCTCTCACGTGCACTTGGGTCGCTGTTCCGCAAGTCTCGGAACCGGGTTTGTGCAATCTTTCAACGAGACACGAGTTCCCGACCTGAGCTGCATTTCCTTTGAGTGGCCTTGTCCCAGAAATTCAATGTACGAATGTCGGTGATTTCCGGGAGTGTCCGTGGACCTGGCGAGCCGTGTTTGCACGAGTACAAGCGCGATTGAACTCCTCAGTGGCATGCCTTCGGGGAGCGTGATTTGTTTGCCAGCTGAGCATCAATGCAGTTGGTGCTCGCCCAGTGGCGGCCCAGTGGACAGGCTTAAAGTAGCAACAATTCACGGATCAGCAAAGCTGCTCGTGGGATCTTGTGGAAAAAACCAACGTTTCTATCGGCTCAGTGTACGCTTCGGCTCAGAGTGCATGAGGCCCAAATGGGCTTGTCTCAGAATGAGGGAAGCCTCAATATGAATGGTTGGTGTCCTTTTGGTTTCCTTTGAACACCAACCAATTTCCCAAACCAGATACACCCAAGCATTGTCAAGAAGAAGCTGGTTAGGAAATCCTAAGCCCAAGTGCCCTTGAGTCGAGGGTACCACTTTTCACCAGATCCAGGCCGCCCAGAATGTAAGGATCTATTACGGAAGCATTTGTTTTTTCCCGGCAGGAAGCAGAGCACAACGAGCACTTGGAGGAGACCTTGCAAACCATCAAGAGCCTTTCGGCGCAATTCGCAAGACTCTGGCTATGTTGTTTTTTCTCGTTGGGAACCTGTCCCAAAATGGCTGGGTGTAAAATGCCCAGTCGAGAATCGAGCCCACCACAGGTTGTGGGTGCGGGGATTTGGGACCGTTTGACAAGCACGTTTCGTCCTGTGCCGCAGCTCTCGTCGGACTCCCTCTGAAATGGGATTCGGAGTCCTCAGCAGAAAGGAACGCCCACAGATGTCCAACTCAAAACCCCCTCTGGTTGGCTCGCAGGCACCTGCCCTGTTTCATGTCGAGGTGGTGGGTGTGCTGTTGGAAGTATCGTTGAACTTGTTCTTCTTCTCTTTTTTTTCCGTCTCCTTAGGCATCCACTCATCCAATGGCATCCTGACTTGGGGTGAAACCATCTCACCATCGCACCCATGAGGTCCCTTTTGGATTGTGGATCCCTAGGCTGGTGGTTGGCAGTTCGAGCAGATACCACAGAAATCCCGCTCGTTGCCTTTCGGGGCAGACGCACTGAGCGGCTGCGAAGTCTCTGAAAGCTCCCGTTGGAGTTCCTAGCCCGGGCCCTTTGTTTTTAAATTGGATCAATCGGAAGAAGAAAAAAACCCTCTGGATTTTGCGCCACTGGAGACCTGGGAGCTCTGCAAAAGCTGACCATAGTTCCAACTGGAGTGCGGCCTGAGGCCTGCGCTACAGGAGCTACACCCGGAAACCCTGGATGGATGAGCAGGCTCGGGTCAAACCTATGCCTTTCCATTAAATATGCATCGAGGCTTTTGGATCCTAAGGCAGCCAAGAGCACGGACCGATCCTCTAGCATTGGCCAGGCCTCCAGTCTGTCTGTTCCCTTTTTTGATGTGGATTTCCCTTCAACAATCGACCAAAAGAAGGGCGTGCTTTTTTGCCGTGGACACAGGAGGTCTTGGATTGTGAAATCTGATGCACTGTGGCGACTTCACGGAGTAAAGCAACCGACCCAGGTCCTTTCAGGAGAGAAATCACGCTCGTATCCCCAAGCCTTCAATGGCAAACTCGCTTCGGTCAGAAGCTTCCTTCCGTAGCTTTCCTTTGTTCCCCTGATCTCCCAGACCGCTTCACTTCGCGCCTCCAGTTCTGAGCCTGGCCCTCCGGTCCCTAGGGTAGTGCTGAGCTTTTGATATCCCGGCCGCGGCACCTTTCTGTGATCACGTGCTTCTCTGCGCCGAAGCACCGAGCAAAGCCACTTTACCGCGAACGATTCCCTCCTAAGGATTTGCTTGGCTAAGCTAGACTGCAACCACACAGGCACCAAGTCGATCCGACTGCGTGCGGGGCCTCAAGCATGCTGCTGTTTGATGCGACGGCAAAGAAGCCCAGTTCAACCCAAATGGACCAATGGAACCATTGCAGCGTCGAGCCCTACTCAATAGCAGCCTCAGCTGTTACCGAATTCCTGTTTGGCGGAGTTTTCCTTCATTCGGGGCGCCGATTCTTCGAGGGACCAGGCAGGCTCTTGCAAGGCCACATCATTGGTAAATCCAAGGCACAAAATCCAAATACATGGGCTGATAGCAGCCGAAAATGAGTGGACGTGTGGGTCAAAGCTTGACAAAATGGGAAGAGTCCAAGCACTCAATCTTCCTCATCCTGGGTCTCGTGGCCCAGCATTGGCATAGCTTCAGCGGCTGCACGCTTGTTTCTGCGTGAGACGCTCTCTTGAGGTCAAACAAAAGGCGGAACGCCACATCTATGAGCACTGACGAAATGCTGCAGCCAATCGACCAAAACAAAATGCTCCCAAGAAGGCAGCGCAACTTGTCGCCGAGTTTGCCTGAAGTGCTTGCAAGCCTGGTTCTGAGCAGCCTGAACTATCAGCCTGGCTCATTGCTTGCTTTGGCTTCGACTCAGTCTTCGGACTGTCGCAGCTGTCTGGCCCGCGCACTGTCTGGTGTCAAGCTTCATTCGGACTCCAGACCGGAAATCTGCTGCCGGCCACAGGCGGAACCTCAGACTTCGGTGTCAAATTTATCTGTCTGTCGAAGGCTCTGTCACAGCTCTGTCCAGCTGTCTGTCTCAGGCTCTGTCGCGGGCAGTCTGGTTGTGGCGGTTGTTTAAAACCTAACAACACCAAACTTGTCGGTGGTTGTGAAAAGCCACCGCCATCGCCAGGGTCGAGTGACGTGGTCCATCGCACGGATCCGCGTGGCGCAAGTGGTGATCTCGCAAAGCTTTGAGACCTGCAACCTGGACAGATGCGGGGCTAAGGCGGCTACGGGTTCAAGTACCTAAGGGGGGACTTTGACCCCCCCCCCCTAAGTTGCCTTCCACACTTCCACCCTCAAAGGTGCCAAGGGAGATTGAGTAAGCTCACCATGTGAGAACCCCTGGCTTCTCATATTCGTGGTTTGCCCAGAAAGTCAGTCCGTTGTGAAGGCTGTCGCCTGGCTGCGCCGTGCGCCGGCAGCTCCAAAGTAATACTGAGCGACCCACAGAACACTGTGACTGCCGACAGCTAGATTGAAGCAGCAACGCCCGCGCTACCACCAACAGCACCAGCCACAAGACAGCCAGAAACGACTTGAAATTGCTACAACAAAGCGGCAAACAACGCGCAACAAACATCACACAACAAACCAGCGCCAGCGCCAGCACCACCACCACCAAAACAACCACCACAACCACCGCTGCCACCAAGACCGCAACACGAACCAGCACCAGCGCCAGCAACAACAACAGCAACAAACGACAGCGACGACCACGACAACAAGAACAAGGCTGGGCGGAAAAGGTTGCTTAACAAGAGCAACCCAGGAACTAGGGACTGGGGTGTCAAAGCCGGGCTAGTGGGCCGAACTGCCGCCGAGGCCAAGTACTGCCACAGTGCAAGGCTGGGGCTGCGAGCCATGCGGTTGACTAAGGCTCAGGCAATTGGGTGCCTAAAAACGACTACTATCTCTACCGCCTCCACTGCTACTGCTACTCCTTGCTTCTACGTCTACTCCCACTCCTACTGCTACTGCTACCGCCACTACGACTCGACGCGACTACTCCGGCTGCTGCTATGACGACTACAATAACTACTGCTAATATCCACTGCTACGGCCTAACCCCGGTTCTGCCAAACCCGTGTTTACACGTCGTGAGCCAGACTTCCGCACTGCTGTCCGGTGTTCCTTGCAGTAAAGCAGCCCCTCGAAGGGATCCGAGTGTGGCGCCGGGGTGAGTACTTCCACGGCCGGAAGAAGGCGGAGTTTGCTTTTCTGAGTCATTTCGCCAATTGGGAGGCTTCAAGCTGCCAAATGTGGATCCCTTTTGAAGCCCTGATATTTAGTGTCTACGGGTCTAAGTCTGGTCGTGCAATGCTTTGGTTCCAGCTGAATCACAACCTGGCATCAACATGGTCTACCCAGAGCAATTTAAAGAATTAAGAAGGCGGCTGTACCCATCTATGGTTGGGACTGTCCCTTACCAACCTGAATCTGCCCGGGTTTTGATTGTGGCTTGGCCCTATCAGTTGGCCTATATTCGCCAAGGTATGGGTCTAATAATCCTCACCAACCTTGGCCTCATCATCTATGAGGCTGACCAGGATGCCAAATGCTATCCAGCCTACTCAGCTGCTTGTCCAAGAAAGGCGTGCCATCGGGAGCAGTCAAAGCTTGAACCGGTGTGAGTTGTATTTCTCAAAAAAAATCAAGGAACCGCCAGAATGGGTGTTATGTTTGCTTCCTGAAAATCCACTCAGCTGTTTCGGGGTTTTAGGGTGATCCTGACGTCTTGGCAAGGACAACTACAACGCTTGCCCGGAACGCAGTGACAATATCTCCTGGCTGTCAAACGTGAACCTTTCACTGCTGGTGCCTTGGCCGATCGAAGCCGCGGTGTTTCAGATGGTTCAGGGTGCCTGAAATGGTGCGAAGGATCAAAACGAGCTCGGGCGGGTGAAGGTCCTGCAGAGGGTACCTACAGTTGGAGGCGATGATCTTTTGTGGGGGATGGCAAGGGGTTTTAGTGCCTCCTTGGCTACCAAGGGACTTCAGTGGGGTTTCGTTATTTCCTTTTTGATGTTCAGCAAGTTCCCCGTGGATCATGGTTTTTCTGCGGATCCCACGGGGGAGCTTGTAATTTGATTTGGACAGTCCCAAACAAATGGGGACCCTTTTTTGGTGGAGGGAAGCCAGCAGGAATTCGTAGCAGTGGGAGATGGACATGGGATGGCCATGCCTACTTCAAGGTCCTTCTGGTATTGGAGGAGGGAAATGCTGGTCCCTTGGGGTACTGTAAAGAGGGTTTCTACAGCTCCCTTCTTTTTGGCGAAAAGGCAACGGTGGAGATCGAAGCCAGTCTCTCTCTCTCTCTCTCTCTCTCTCTGCGGATACGCCAGTTTGTAGATCGAATCGCAGGTTCACTGCATGTGTGGCAGCAAAGGGCACTTGTAGGTTCCAACCCCCGCTTCAGAGCCCCGCCCCAAGACCCTAACTTCCGGTTGCGGCCCAGGCCTTATTTGCAAGAAGTTTCTGTGGGTTTCTGTGGGTTTCTGTGGGTTTGGATCCTGAAGCGCTGGTTCGGGTCTTCAAGGGGGTTGGATCCGGTTCTTAGGTCGTCTACTCCATAGAGTGCCTGGCGCGCTGGTTCGTGGAGCGGGGCGGCTTCTTCTGCAACCGCTGGAATCAGATAGACCTCACTACCGTGATCTTGGGCTGGATCAGCGCCATGCTTACAGGCATCGGCCCCCGGCAAGGTCAAGGGAGCCGTGTCAACCTCCTCGATTCCCTTCACTTTCCTCCAAAGGGCCAAAAGGAAAACCCGAATCGGGCCTGGCAGGGTGAGGCCAGTTGAGGTACGCCCTTAAAGGGGTACGTGACAACAGCCCTTTGTTTGGGACGAATTCCTGCAGCTCTTTTTGGCATGTCCGGTTCTTGCCTTTCTGAAAATATTCAGAGAATATTTAGATCAGAAACGAGGATAATAGAACATATTTGCACTGCAGGTTAGCATGGAACCTACTAATCCCTTCTTTTTGAAGGAATCTCCTTTTGGGGACCGCTTTTTGGGTTCCATGTTGGTTTTGCAGGAGAGCAAATCCTGGGTTGAACATTGCCCAAGACAGCCTCGTGGATCATTTTGTCCTTGAATTGACCCGCAGGAATGATGACTCTGCGCCTCGGGAGCATGTGGGAGATATCTCTTGCGCTCGCAGCCACATCATGGGGATCAATGTGAATGAGGGCAAGTGATGTTCATGAACCTGACGACCTGCCATAGTTTTGAGCTCACTTTGGTGGATTCCACCGGTTTTACTTTGGTCTTTTTCCTCTGCCAGCATTTATTTGTCCAAGGGACACGTGCCCACAGGTGCAATTGTTGGAAGCGACACCTTCTCATACTTCAGGCATCCAGGCATGCTGAAATTGCTTATTGGCACAATGGAGTTTCAGACGGCATGCCTGAGGAGGCGTTATGTTGATGGTCCTACTTTTCACGGTGCTTTGTTTGGCACTCGCACGAACTGAGTTGGCTTGCCGGCAAAGTATGGTTACATGTTGGCTTGTTCATATTGATGCAGCGTTGTTGGATGGTTTCTTGTGGTATATGTTCGTATTCACGTGGCTAGGACATACTGTGAATGTCATTTTGCGAAACCTTCCAAGCATACACAGCATGGCCCAGGGCATTTCAGGTACACATGGATCCTGAGGTGGCTGGCAAGTTTCGAGAGGGGTCGAAGATCGATGCCCACCGAGCAGATCAGAGGGGCCCTGAAGCGACACATACCCGGGCTGGTCAGGGGCGGAACATGGGTTTGTCTTGTGGTGAGAGCCTCTTTTGGGGTGGATGCCTTTTTGGGGGGGCTCCACATGCCATATTACCTGTGCAGTTGGCAAACCTATTTTTGATTGTAGGTGTTTTCATCATTTTGGTCACGGCCCTTTCAGGTTTTCACTTTTTCTGACCGGATCGTCGACTCAGGTTGGCCGGTTCGAGTTTCTATGCGTCAAACGCGATGGTGGATTATCCTTTGGCCAGTTCCACTTTTGGCGAAGTTATATTATATTCCCCTCCCCCCCTCCGCCCGCCAAGCTTCCAGAAGATAGACCTTGGCTCATGGTAGATGCGGAAGCGCTCTCCGCTCGGAGACCGAGGAGTTTCCTTCGGCTCTGCCGGGTGGTTCGGATCCTGCGAGCGGCCAGGGTGCTCATCTCAATCCCTGAGTTTTACCTACTGATCACTGGACTGGGGGAGGGGTTGACCCGTTCCAAACAGCTGCAACCCATCGATCACCAATCTCCGATCCCCTTTGCGGGTCCCATTGAGGTGCCCCAGCTGATTCTTGAACCAAGTTTGTCCCAGCCTGCGGTGAAAAAGGAATCACACATAAGCAACTATTCTGGGGGGGTGGATTTGGAGACAAAACTTGGTCGGCTGTACTTCTCATGACTGTGTTTTGAAACTATGCCGCCACCCAAAACAACAAGTGAAATGGGTGAGTTCCGGTGTGACTTCCCTTCCGACAGAACTGAAAGGGGTATCAGAAAACAACGCACCCCGGTGCGTGAAGTTGCTGGGACTAAGAGCCGCTTGAGGCGTCTAACAGTGGCACCCGCAAAGTAAGCAAGAAACTCACATGCAGTTCGCAGAGAAGGACAACCTGTCGCCTGGGAATGGGACTTTGGCATGTAAGTCGAGTCGTAGCAAAGAAAGTGGGCAAATCATAGCGAGCTCGGTGGAAAAACAGCCAATGAAGGTGCTTGCTTGGGGACCGGGATGGTTGCAGTATTTTTAAAACAATGTGAAATGTACCAAGGTGCCCAAAGCATATGCGAACAGCCCCATGAGCCATCCCATCAGCCATGGCCATGGATTCATTTAGCTCAAGCCGGCATCTGAAGAAAGTTGGGGCTTTGGCGAGGACAACCCAAACTGTCCACAACCAATAGAATACTTGTTTTCCAATGTCCTCCTGGGAACGAATCATATTCTGCGTGGGTCGGTCCTTGTTTGCAGGTGATTCAGCGAAGAGGTTTTGCTTGGGTGCTTGGTGTTCCGAATCGAGTTGTTGAACTCGCCCTCGCTCGCGTGTTGATGATGGGCGGATACCTCGGTTTGTTGTTCAGTTGGACTTTTGAGGCTTGAAATTAGCAGAACGGGTTGGGATTTCCTTCCAAAAGAATGTTATAAGTCGCAACTCATCGAAGTGCACCAAGCCACTGTTTCAGGTCGGTTCTTACTGGCATCAAGATGTCCCATGCAGGACTCTACTCCTCTGTGAAGGCCATCATTTTTGGCTCCTTCATGCTGGCCACGGTGATCCTTTTTTGGGCCATCATCGTGGTTCAGCTGCTACACCCCGTCAACGCCAGCCTCAACTATGACAACTGTGCCATGGTAAGACCAGGTCCTTCCAACTTTGAACACATGGTTGGTAGGCATAGATCCCAACACAAATGAGTCAACCAGAGGGTCCCCTGAATTGAAATTCGCGTCTGCCGATTGACGTATCATGCCTCGATTATTAGCAGGGCAGAGCAACCTGCAGGGCCTTCCGAGAAGGCAACCTGTTTGGCCCGCACAGCTTTGGTGCGGTCCGGTGGATGCATTTACCCAGAAGACCAACATGTAAACCGGTACATGTGCTGGTTCGTGGGTGGTAGCTGGATTTACAGGGGGGAGGGGGGGGAACCACAAAGATGTTCCAAAACCAAGCATCAAATCACAATGCCCGGACACAGCTTGCTGCACCAGATGCGGTCAGCCAATCATGAATGTGGGGCAAGCAACTTGAGAGCGAGAGTGAGAGAGCGTGCATTGAAACCAGGCACCCCTTTGGTTGCTTTCATGTTCGGGACCAACTTGTTTTGATTCAAGTTTCACATGGTTATGGCAAGGTGGGTTTTAGGGCCAGTTTCTGTGAGTGGCCAAGGGTGTTTGAAAATGACCTAGTGGTCATAGCAATCAACGACCATGGTATCACAGAAAGGGTTACTTATTGTTCACAACCAGGACCTCCCATGCTTGCTCAACAAGGCGAAACTGGGACGAAAGCGGAGCCCTTTGGCTGAAAGGGCTCCCAAAACCTTCAAGCCGTGGGATGAGGGGACATCTTGAGTCCAACTTTCTGCGTCCAAGTTTGGTCCCTTTGAACAAGCTCAAAGGCCCTCAAAGGCAATGGGTTTTGACTTCCCTTTGCCCAGTGCGTTCCTTAGCACGTGCCATGTTCTAAGAGGGAACCCCATTCCAGGCTGGGCCCATTTGGTTGCCCCCTGAAGTACTTGGACTGTCATTCCACATTTCTTTGGCCAAGAACTGGCCTGCCACCCCGAGGCGAGGACTGTGCAGAGGGCTATTCAAGTGTGTGGGCCGCAGCCGCCGCTTCGAATGATCGAACGGGCGTTGGAGGGGTTTGTATCCCAAACAAAGAGTGGCATGTTCAATCATCTCTTTGTGTTTGCCCATTCAAAGCAAGCGTCCTGTGGGTGGTGCTCCCGCTCCAGTCCCATAGTTTTCCTTTGTTATCCTCTTTTGGGATGTTGGGAACATCGCCCCAGCTTGCAACGTGAGCGTCCTTGTTTGCCTGGGGTAATGTAAAAACCCTTTCAGCTGTTTTACCGATTTGGCTGTCTTGGATTTGGTCTTTGTAAGTGTGGGGAATATGGAAACGCCCCCTTCTGCACATGTCCCTCTTGTTTTGTGCTGTTGACCTCCCCTTGGCTGATGATGCTACCAACGTGAGTTGATTTGGGTTGTTGGTGATGTTAAACCTCTCTGAGTGGCGCTTTGAATTGCTGCGCCAAAGTCTTTCTTTTTCTTGGTGATGTTTCAAGGGGACAAATTCGGAATTCAGCAAGCACTTTAGGGCTACATTACGTGTTGTTCCTTCGGTTCATCGGGGGATCCGTGCAACAATTCCCTTCAAGGGTACCAACCTTTTCTTGTATTTAAGGGTCACAGTGGGTGTGCATGTGTACCAAAGCCAGAGGCTCGTGCTTTGTTACGCGGTTGCTTTTCGGAGTAACCGATACAACATTTGTATCTTTGGGTAATTTACAGTTTCTATGCTACTAGCAAGTTGCACTTGTTGTAGGGAGTCAACAACCAACCAGGTTTTTCTTGAACAAGGCATTTGCGACTGCAAACTCAAGATTAGGGTCATACTTGCTGCACCTTGTTTTTGCGTCGGTTAATTACTGTGCTTCATCCAGATGAGATAGGGTGGGATGGGATTAGATAGATCAGAATCGATCAAGATGAATCGGGATGGGGCGTCGGCTCGGCATGGGGAGACAGTATAGCCCTTGGGCCTGAAGGCCATTGCCAGACTCTGTCCTTTTTGCTCTTTTTTGCCTTTGAGGTTTTCTTCATTTCACATTTCCCTTGTTGGCATCGGCTTGTCGGCCAATCGAGGTCACGCTTTTTCAACAGATCGTAGCCGGAGATTCCTGGGGCGCAATTTCTGTGCCGGTGGTTCAAGCTGCTCCTTGGAGTCTTGACTGCGAGAACCAGACAGCCTGGACGCGTGTTTCTTTTTTGGGCTTGAAGGGAAGCGCACAGGAAACTCAGCATTTCAGGGGGTCCCTATTTGGAGACAAACCCATCATGCTAAGTATACAATTGCTGAACAATGTATCACTATAATTGGGTTGCGGGCTACCTTTTGAAAAGGAAACTGAATGAGTCACAACCATTGGGAGAATAATGTGTGTGTGTGTGTGTACTGTTTGTTTAGCCCCTTGCATTCATCGACAAGCACTCTGGCTTGACATTGATACTCGTTTGCTGGCTGCTGTTGGTAATCACTCAACAGTATGGCAACCTTAGTACTACACGATGGCCTTGTTGGATGCTTCTGAGACTGTTGGTCCTGTTGGGACGCCAAGGCGATTTCTCTGCTATCATCATTTCAGCCCATCAAAATCCCATGGTTGTCAGGGAATCTTCAAAGAGGTGATCCCCCAAACAAGGCACCCAAAAAGAACCCTATTAGCCGCCAATAGGCTTTATTAGCCGCTTTTGGCTCTATTGGGATTGGGGCCCCCTATTCTGGCTTGTGCTCAGCTGGGAATGAAGGCATGCATTGTGAGTAAGTCGCAAAAAGTCGTTCGCGCAAAAACGACTGTCATGTTGAGTGCAAAACAATGCAAACTTGCAGTTACCATGCTGCGAATTGATAATGTGTCATGTTATGTATGAATACCATATGTGGCTTTCACATTTCTAAATATCACTGCCTAGTGCAAGCTTGGCTGGTACCCAGCTAGATTTTTGTTTGTATCACACATGCTTGCTGGGCAGGGGATGCTAGCAAACGCCAGCTGCGAGAGCGCTGTGAGAGCGCACAAGAGGCCACGCCACTTTGTCATGTCAGCGCAGCTTTGGGATGGGAAAGCACAGCTGATGACTCAAGACCGCAGCATGGTAACTGCAAGTGTGCATTGTTTTGCACTCATTTGCACTCAACATGACAGTTGTTTTTGCACGAAGGACTTTTTGCGCCTTACTCACAATGCATTCCTTCATCCCAGCTGAGCACACGCCAGTACTAGGTGAGGGATTTGACAACCATAGGATCAACATGCCTCAGGTAGATATTGAGAGATAGGCGGGTGTCATGGCGTGCTGCCTTTGGCGTGGTGCGGGTGGCGGCCCTGACAAGGCAGCACTTTCCCTGGTCCACACATATTTGGGCCTCGCCTGAGGGGCGCTTAGCCACTTTGAACTCCGAGTGGAGGAGGCGATGAGGTTTACGAGCCTCTTGCAAAGCCAGAAGGGATGGCGCCTTAAGCAGTGGCTCTGCGCTTCCCACCTAGCGCAGCAGCTTTCGCCACTCACTCACTCACTCACTCACTCACTCAGTCACTCACTCACTCACTCACTCACTCACTCACTCACTCACTCACTCACTCACTCACTCACTCACTCACTCACTCACTCACTCACTCACTCACTCACTCACTCACTCACTCACTCACTCACTCACTCACTCACTCACTCACTCACTCACTCACTCACTCACTCACTCACTCACTCACTCACTCACTCACTCCCTCACTGGTTCCGTTCCTGCTTTCCCCTCAAAGCTGGGGAGTTGCACTTGGCGCGCTGCTTTCATACTGAAAAGTTGCAACTTCAGACTCGGAGCGCGTTGTATCGAATTTTTCGAGCTTTTTTGATAGGGCTGGCGGCTAAAAGCTGAGCCTGGGAACTGAAAATGTTTGGCAATGCCGCGAAAGACTCGCGCACCTAGATTTTGCTTCGGAAGGGGTAGCTTTGCGAGGGGTGGCTTGGACTCCTTCCCCCCAAAAAAAGCTGTGGGGGCATCAAGTTCCGAGGGTACCCATTTGCAGGGAGTTGTTTGTAGAAAGGGCGACCTAAGGGCCACCTATTGTCTCAACTGGGCAAAGTATGACTAGCCAATTAACCAATATCAGAAGGCGTGGCAGAAAACATGCTTGTGCGCCCTTCGCAGCAAAAACCTGACCTCAACTTGCGAGTGGATGTCACGTGCTTGGCCAAAGGCTTGCAAGCAAATGTCTTCCTCAAATGACGGTAAGACTCACCACGCTGCAGCCCATTTAAGGCATGGAGGTTCAACCATACAGCCACGTCAGGACCGCGCCGCTGCTCTTTTTCATTCTGATCACCATCTCTCTGGGCGTTATGAATTTAATCCTGGCCGTAATTGTGGAAAGAGCCGCGGAGGCAAGAGGGCTTGCGGGGTTTGTGGAATGGCTGGACTGTTTATTTGGGCAATCCGCAAAATTTGTTGGGGCCACTTTCTGTGATACCCAGATAGCCCCCTTCAAAGTGACAAAGTAGTCATGAGAATGATCCATAGATGATTTCCCACAGCCATGATTCAGAAATAGGATTGGCCAGCCCTGGTTTTGAATGATCTCATCAGGGATTTTGGCTGGGCTGACTGTATGGCAGAAATGCTTGTTTGCGCCTGTTGAAGGTGGCAGTAGATTTATTTGGCAGGTATGCAAGACTTGTTTGTGTCCAAAGTGGATTCCGGATTCCAACAACCTACAACTCAGGGATAATCCACCCTTCTTGGGCCTTGGCGCGGGCTTATCATGAGCCGGGCACAGGCAGAGGTGAATAGACAACAGCAGACAGACCGGGAGACAGTTCTTAGGGTTGATACCCCCATTTTGTTTCCGCATTCTGTTGTTCACAAACCAGGGGTGCCTGAACAGAACGGGGAGGATACTACTAGAATGGTGAAGGATACAGACAGTGGATCAAGGATAGATCAGATTTGCATGTACGAGAAACAAACAGCATGAGAGAAAGCAGTGTTGGAAGCGCTTGCATGCTGCTTCACTGTGGGATATGGGAGTGTCTCAAAATCGGGGGGCACAAAACAGTGGTTTCACTTGGGTTTTCTATCAAAGTAAGGTTCCCTCAACAGAAGACACCCAAATTCGAGATGCCAGGCGCACGACAACGACCAGGATCAGAAGATCAAGCAGAAAGAAGAGGAGCGCTCTCGAACCTCAGAATGTCTTAGCAACCATCTGCTCTCGGTTGTCTCCAAAACCTTTCCGAAAGGACACAAGCTCATTTTGCAGGGGCAGTCACATCAATCCCTTTGTTTGGGAGTTCTGTTCATGAAACTCCCTTACTCCGACGTAAATGGTTTTAGAATGCCACTTGTTGCACAACCTCATTCCCATTATTTAGGCCCTAGTAACGTAATTTGCAGAGATGTGTCGATTTTTGGTGTGGGATGTCCTTGGCCCAGGTAGCATGCTGGAGCTGGCGAAGCAATGCAGCAGCATGGATGACAACGAGAACGGGGCCCTTTCTTTGGAAGAGATGCTGAAGGGCTATGACAAGGTGCCACACTTGGATTGGGCGCCATAGTCCATGTGTTGACCTTAAGAACTGGTACGACAAAAGAAAGACTGAAAGGAAAAGAAAGAACAAGCAATAAAAGCTGACAGACAAGAAGACGAAGGACATAAAACGGAAAATAAACTAATACATGATAAGAAAAGAAAGGAAGGAGAGAAATAAGTAACAAAAGAAATAAATACAGGAAGGAACAGGGAACGAAATGAAGAAAGACAGAGAGAAGCAAAGAAATAAAGGAAGAAGTAAGTAAAGACAGAACAAAAGAAACAATACAAATATAATTGTCAATTAAATCATGTTGAAATATCTAAAACATGAATGACACAAGAAAAGAACAAAATAAATTAACGCAAA